AATAAATGAAATCTGGTATGAACACAGCCTTTTTTCTCGGCGACAATAGGACTAGATACACAACTTGAACTCTGTCCTTCGCCGGCAGACAAAAATGTTCGGGAGCATGATAGCTCGACCGTACTTTTCGACGATGTCCATCACGGGCTTCAGCAAACTGAAGACAGACGCGGTGACTGTAACAGAATTATAGTAAAAGTAGACTCGTAGGATCTACCCCACTCTCCCATCACTCCCACACCTGTACCCGTTGTCAAGAAAAAGGTCAGGAATACCGGAGATGGGGGAGGGCGCAGGTGGCTAATGAGGTCGAGGCCGTCTCTAAACGTGCCACCAAGCCCAGAAGGGTCAATTTTGCAAGATAAGCACGGAACGACTGGCCGGGTGGCTTTTGCGACGAGGGCGCGACAGCCACCGCCACCATCACGCTGCCTACAAATTAACTAGGCGCCACCAGCCGCTTTTCACTCCTCTGGATCAGAGAGGGAGAGGGAGAAGATACAATTAACGTGGCAACCGTTCACACCACCAATAAACCCAGTGGGAGGGCAAGCGCACATACACTGACAGGGAATCAGATCCAAGAAAACTGTAAGCGCACACTAGGCCACAGGAACCATGGTTTACTGAAGCGTGGCGTTGCATACGCACACAATCCTTAAATCTATTTGGGAGCATAATAGGCCACTGACATGCGGAAGATTTCGTGCGCGGTCAGTCCAATATCCGTTTTTAAAGGAACATTTTGTTTAACGCAGGCATTGAGTTGTGAGATAGGTATAAAATAACGTGAATAATTTAAAATGCTCGCTATTCCAAAAGCGATCGTCAAAACTATAGCCATCAGTTGAATAAAGCCCAACAATAACCCTAAACTATGGACTAGAACGTAGGCGAAATTGAACACTGATTGTGGCTTTTGTGCCGACTTAAAACATTTCATATCAACTACTTGCCCTGCAACTTAAATGTCGAAAAACCAGTTCATTTACACGCACAATAATATCGTGAGATGAAAGTTAAATCAAAGGAGAGTATGATCGCTGGAATGCGGCTCCATGAGCAAAACAGCTCGTGCTAGTGAAACCATTACCTTTGCGCGAGGAAAAAGATGTCTTAAAACTTTGAATTGGGGTTAGTGCATTCATCACAGTTTGAGAGTGAGCACCAATCTGTTTCTGTCCATTAGTATCATGGGTTCGAGTGTAAATTTCAAATGTCAGATGAAGTAAAGCCCTGTTTCAACGATCGCATCCCGTGTTTCCAACTGTCCTTTGGAACGTATCATTCCACTTTCAACGGTTACGACAATAAATAATTTAAAAGTATATGCAGGTTTTAAATTTGCGTCAATGGGCAGTAATTACACAATTTAGAAGAAGAAGACTCAATCGCTGGGACAATGCGTTTATTCGCTTGACGTTTCGACATTCGTCGCGGATTCGTCATCAGAGAATTGAGTAGGAAACAGTAGCAGACCCGTTTTTGCTACTATTGCCCAATTTCTCTATTTGGCCCAATGTTTAAATAAGCTTTTTACAAAAAACGCTAATAAAGCTAGATTCACATTCTTTATGTTTGTTATTTACCTTTACGGGACGCTGACATGTTCAGACGGTGGTGCATATACGCCCAAGTCAGTTTTCTCAGAGTCCCACCTTAAAAGCACATTCTTTTAGCCCGGATAGTCCTTCTTAAATTATGGTACACTGCAAAAACAGCATGTTTGGATTTGCAGGAATATGTAACCTCACTTTGAACTTTTGCGTTATATGGGAATCCGTTGTCAGTTTCTGGTAGCCGTAACAACTATCTTGTTGCCTCTCTTGGAAATGCATGTAAAGTGGCCATATCCTATGTTCATGAATACGACCATAGAAACTAATATATTTTCTAAAAATAAGGCCACCAGATACGTCAAAACACGTTCGTTGAAAGCGGAATTATTTGCCCCACCGAAAAAATGATTTTGTCTAAAACATGCAGATAATTCAAATGAAAGTATCTTTCTTCGTAACAGACAGGCTGCAGGTTCCAAAAAGCCAGCATGCATGCAATTTTATATTGTATTACACCTTTAAAAAATTGTCGAAATTTTATTTCCTTAATCCCCAAAATGCTGATGTCTTTTAAATATTTTCAAACACGAGAATAAATGTGTTAGGATACATACGGTTGCTTAAAAAACAACCACCTTCATTTGCCTTGGCGTGTGCAAAATAACTGTTTATGTTGAATGCAAGAGACCATTTAAAATAAGATTTTTTTCCACACTCATTAAATATTTAGAGAAAAGATTTCCTATCAACAATAAAATAATAGGGTGACCCATAACTAAAAGAAAATCATCAATGTCAACGTCGTAGCAGTGACATTTTTCCTGAAATATTTTTGTTTCCGGTTTACCTAAGTGAACGTTGATGTCTTTTTACTCCGTACATTAGTACTTCCCGGAATCGATTTTTTGGGTTTCGACCTGGGTATGCTTACGTACGAGGTAGCGCGGCCACAGATGTGCATTTGCTAGGGTTTACAAACTTGAGGTGTATTCATGCAATCCCTGGCACACATGCACCCAAAGGCGTTTAAATTTCTGGAAAAAAAAACACTTTTAAATTTCTGCATTCTCCAGCGTGCGTGCCCTTTTCTCACAGAAAGGTTAGAATTCCAAGAAATGACAACGCGGGTGCAAAATAAGCGCGTGATCAGACGTTAAAATTGGATGTCAGTCCTTCCAGACAGATAAGTTTTTCAGAGACTGCATACTTATAATTTGATAATTTTAGTTAAAAATATGTATATATATCGAAGAGGTAATTTCGGACTAATTTAATTGGATTATATGCCCTTTGATCTATCGCCTTCCGTGCATGCAGTTAGTTGAATATGACTGACTATTTTTAAACATTTCTATTTATTAAAACAGTGCATAAACTATTTATGTTCCACAGGGTATTGGCATAAGGAGTAAAGGAAAGGAGCTGAAGATTGCTTTCGGCCAATTGGATGGATATATAAAACCCATAGGCCTAACTGTTTTTACTTGAAATCTCTGTTCAGAAAATACGTAGAAAAAAAATAAGACGGCTAATGATATGCAAACTTAACTCGTTCCCGAGCATTTAGCATTCCAAACTGGCTGGCGCTCATTTAGACAACCGTAGCCAATACCTTACTATGATTCCTGTACTAAAGCGAGAAAGTTTAAAAGTTGGCTGTACGGGAACCGAAACGGCCAAGGCGAATTTACAAGAATATACAGGCGTCACATGCATTCCTAATGAAAATAACGCAGAGATAGGCTATTTTATTCGTAGTTTCATCCTCTTAGATTCCAATAACCTGGGAAAATTTGAAGTAAGTTAGATCTGTCCGGGTTCGAATTGATGAGTGTTTCTAATTTTATCAGAATCCTGAACCTGATGAGCATTACACGTGTGTTTTGAAATTTTTCATGGAGAATTTTGGTTTTTCTTAAAGTTCGTTCGCAGTATGAGATAGCTTAATATCTGAAATTCAATGCCAAATTACTACTAATCGATAAGAGCGCAAACAATATCCAGGTGATTTACAACCTGCTGAAAGGCATTTATAATTACGTTTTTGGTATGATTCGACGGACAGGAAATATTGAACGGTATAAAACCAAAACTGGTCATCTTGATTGTAGAAAAATGACCACGCATCTGCGCTCTAACTCTGAGATGGACTATTTAAAGATAGTTTCTATTTGAAAACTAAGTATTAGTGGGATAAGTTTGGTTGCAAGTTTTATTTATTTTCTTTAGATTATTAAGCTCTTTTTTAAATTGATTGGCGACGTAGAAACTCATTTGGATTGAAAGTGCATCCCCACACAGATGTATGGAAATGTTACTGTCAAAGATGTCAAAAAAGTCAAGAAACAGTTTGCTCCCTGTCCCCAAGTCTATCATTAAAATGCCATATTTTTTTAAAAATCGTATATTTACGTCAAACGGGTTTCTGGTACGGCCTGCATTACGAAGGACGCACTCAGTGGGCAGTCGTATGGAACTAAAATAGTATTGGTCAGACGTCAGTTTATATAATTTTGTACGGATGTATAGCCTCCAGGGTACGTCAAGCTGCCCTCCTCATAAAACTGCACTATGCCCCTTAACATGGGAAAGGAATATACTCTCCAAAAATTACTTAAGCACCGCCCTAGTCCTCACACATTCACTTTTACTTTTAATATAAGCGCAATCTCGTGTTTTAGTTCTGCCATATTCATGCCACTCTTAGAAAGTAAGATTTGTGGTCACCTATATTAATGAAAATTGGCCCAAAGCTGGTGAATGAAAATAAAGACCAGAATAATTAGTTAATGTTTGTTTCACTATTCTGTTTTGCTGCTCTTAGCACCCATTTAAATTCTGCAACTGGAATGCATTTGAAGGTCTTGACCTACCTGAGTTGCTCTTCAGTTTTAGATATCTTATTCAGAAAAATTCAACCTAATTGCATGAAGGCATAATTAAACTTAGTTTAAGCATCGAAACCGTAGACGATTCATTCTTAAATAGACCTTAAGGACAATTTAACCTTAGCCAGAATTGCATTTTCATCAACCGACTCCTATAAGCTGTTCGTCGCTGATCCCTTTTTAGCGACATTTCTAATGAACGTACTGATAGTTTCATCTGCGCACCTATTCAGCGAACTAGGAAATAAATTTGCCCTCTTTCGTTTTGTCACTCACGAAAGCAGGAAAAAGATATGATGAATTAACAGATGGATGATATTTTGGAAGCACAAAAGGCAGATAAGCACTTCGCAAGTAATGAACTTTAATACATGACTGCGCGGCTCTCCAAATATCTGCAGCCTCACGTCTTCTGTGGTTGCCAAGGTGCAAAGCTCATATTTCTTGGCGCTACTCTCTCTCTCTGGAAGACAAATCGGCCAAATTCTAGCAAAAAAGATAGAAGAAATTTCAAATATACATAGTGTACGCGTTTTGTCATGTATTCCGCTGCTCAGACGCAGTTATTCATCAAGTCCTCCAGGGATATATAGTCAGACTGAAACAATGGCGAGGCAGTACCGCGCGGGTTGACGAAGCGTGGGAGACCGGAGTCCTCTTCCGCACAAATCCGCTGTGTGGTCCGAGTAGATTCTGAGTTTGCAAAACCAAATTCGTTGTTAACGATTGGCAAATTGTTCTCTTCACTACGCGGTATTCCATATCTGTCTGGTGTGCGCGCAAGGGTATTGTTGAGGCCTGACGTCGTGGGCAGATCTTCTTTGTGAACTTCAGGAAACACGAGAACACCCTCTTCACCACCAATTTTTGTCAAAATCATTTGCCGTCTGGCTGGCGGTGGCGTTTCAAGGCCAGCACTCTGCGACGCGGAGGAGGAGGGCGACTTTGAACGTTCGGGTATATGGCGGGATAGGGAGAAGGTTCCAGTTGAGGGCTGCTGCTGTTGCTGCAGGTGTTGCTCAGTGAGACCTTGTAGGGTTGCATTCATTGGCGCCAGGCCGTTTTGGGGAGTTCCTTCAGGCTGGAAGTTGCATGCGCTACTGGCGCTAGTGATAATAAAGTATTGATTGGGTCCTTGGGAGGCCGGACCGGAGATGGTTGATTGGCGCAGCTCGGGCCTTTTAGCATTACGAAGCAGAGCCGTATACTCACATTCAGGAGGCAGGAAATGTCGGTTTTCGAGGACATCGGTGGACTCACTATCTTTCTTTACGGTGGACTGGCTTGCAGCAGCCGGACCACTGCTCTTCCTCTTCGCTGGTGGTGTGAGGAAGGGGCGAATAGTGTTCCCGGACGGTCGTACTAAGGTGCCTTGATTTGGATCAAGGATGATATAATGTTTTGCCATGTGCTGTGACTGCCGTTTTAATTGACGTGATTCCTTGCTGTCATTCGAGGCATCTCTTGCCCTATGACGATCACTCTTTTTGCCCGGCACGGGTGATAATCTGTCAGTTCTTTTGGTTTTGACTTGTTTGAGGGAGGATTTGCTCAGCGTGTTGCTCTTCTGTTTTCCCTCGACCACTGGAACTGCCGAGGCACCACCGATGGTTGATGTCACAACAGCTGACGGTGGGACTCCCGGAAAGAGTAGGTACCGCATGGACTCCACACTGTCAGCTAAAGTTTAAAAAGTATATATTACTGATAGAAAGACTAGGAGGTTCATGCTGTTTTACTTCACTGAAAATAGGGCAACCAAACGGCGCAAAATTGCAACTTTATAACTAAAAAATATGTTTACATTTGTTAACTTTATCGCCTTTCATATCTGATTCACCTGACCTTACAGCATGCGAGGTGAAAGATGATTATAGATGAGAGTGGGTAAAACTTAACTTATTTCATTTCAGCCATGGTTAGGAAACGAGAAGGAAGTATTTATGGGTAAATGTTATTCATCATTCTGTTGAAACCAGATGAGCAAAATATCGTTGCCGTAAGAACTTCGAATTATGCGTTTTTTTCTGTTAAGCTGAGGAACGAAGGGCTATACTGCCATCCTACCATACGAAGTCAAAGGGTTGTCCAGATATTGACTCGGAACGCGTTATGACAGAAAACGCCGCGAAATTTTGACCGTCGTTACCAAGGATGTCCAACATTTACCCCAAAACTATGCGGGCTTAGGAATTCAGACTTGCGGATTGACCATTTTAAAGTGATAAGTCTTATACAGCATCTATTGCACTCTGCCGCTGTCCAGGCAGTATCGAAGCGATCGGAAATGTAGATTGCCGGAGGCAGTTGTCAAACATGTTAAAGTTTCACAGAGAGGACTCACTAAAATTAACATTTCAGTAGCTATGGGGACCTTAAACCTGCGAAATCGTTGTTTGAGTAAATCTTTCTTATAGTATACTTTCAGTGCATGCGATGCTCTGTCAACTGTACCAACAAATGGAAGTACTTAATCGGGTTTAAACGACCTTCACCAAGAAACTGGTAGAATATTTGGTGCCTTTCGTGGACTTTGAGATGCTGTTTCCTAAGAATTTTTCTTCAACAGAGGAGACACTGGAGTAATCAACCAAATACCCCTCTATTCACTGACAATAAAAATAATGGTCAAATAAATTGTCAACTTATACAGAAGATAGGTTGAATCTTCAGGATGGATGCTGGCTGCTGCCTTACGTTAAATGACCTCATCAGTTGCGCCATCTACAACTCGACAGAACGAAGAACATAAAAGCAAAGGAGAAATGAATGTTCCCAACAGCGCCTCCCTCTAACAGAAAGCTCATGCAAGTTGCATGCAGGTGTGACCTTCTGATGTCGAAAATCTATAAGAAGAGTAATACGCATCCATCGCATCTACTTCATAAAAAATCTACATCTCAGTTAACCGGAAAAGGGACGTAAAAATTATGTATTTCAGACACATACAGCAATGAATATGCCACAAAAAATGCAATATAAATTCCCTATATTTGATGCATTGCCGTGCGAACAGCAGTTTCATATGTTTTGTCGAACCCTCACCGGTCCTTAAGCGCGAGACATACTGCATAATAATTGTTGGGTGTTAAAAATAAGTCACATTTGGAAAATCTTATTTTGGCTAAAGATTTTGGTGCTGGAGGCGTCCATTTAGCAGGTTTTTGTATACTAGATTGTGTTTCATATTGAGATTTCTAACCTAAAAGATCATGATTTTGAGAAGAAATTCTGCTTGGCCAGAATATAATTTATTTTTGATCATCTTACATAGACAGAAAATGAATTCACTGCTGTTTTCAGCAGTCTACCGGTTATATACACGCAAATACTGCAGTAACATAGAGAAACACTATTGCTCCACTGAAGAATGTCTGGATGCTTTCCTAAATTTCAAATATACTTTCGTCTTTATAAAGAGCGCAGAAGCAAAGCAGCCCAAAGAGTACAGTCTTGGAAATATGTAACCCACAAATTAATTTCGAATGTAATGTGCAAACTAGCACACACTGAGTATATGCCAGTTAGAAAAAAAAGCATTAGTTCGTTAGACTGCGTCTGAATGATGGGGACGCGCACCTATTATAAAGTAAGCCATTGCTTATAAAGCTAAACCCGTTCTAAACTGAGTACGTACGCATCTGTAAACGTTGCGTTCATAAAAATCGGAGGAACGGCCTGATTTATTATCGTAGAATATAACCTGTTTTTCAGTCAGGACTTCAGAGTACAATTCTACACAGCCCACGCGTGATTTCAAACGCTACTGGCAGTGGCGTCGTAAAAATTTTCTTAAATTCCTGGGAGGTCTGAATCAGAAAAGTCCAAACTTCTCCCACCCCTGATGGTTGGTGGTAAGGAGCCGAATTGCGAAGAGGGAATCAGTTCCCTTACTAAAATCGTAGAACTTGGCCACGCATATAGTAAATCATTTCTTTTCTACGACAGGCCATTAAGACATTTCAGATGAATGCCAATCCAAATGCAATGAAGTAAAGTTCTGACCAATTAAACAATAAAGTCTTCCGATAGCATTAAGGCACTTCTAAATAGTCCATTGCAGGTTACATTTTGAAGCAATTTTTTTGAAAATCCTCGGGACAAACGAATGCTAACATTCAAGAAAGTACAAACAAAGTACAAAGTACAAACAATTTTAGTGAATTAACGTTCCTTTTTCGGTATTTTGTAATATTGTAACAAAAGGGATATTTTTCCGAGGTCACCCGGTAACTGTCCTTAGTAATTTTAGGACCAGGATATAGAAAAGTACACTTCTGAAACCCGCATGGCTACAATTGTAAAAATCAGAAAGTCTCGTTGGTCGTCATCTAATGTACTAGTTACGGACCAGCCCCAAAGTTGTGAATACCGCCCGAGAAAAGCTGGTGACTGCATTTATGCAGAAAATGCAGATGCAGAACTAGAAGCAGGATACAGGGAAATTTGGGCGGATACATCTAGTGATGTTACACACATTGACTCTCTTTGTGTTTGATTATTGATCTTAAAAATACTGGACAAATATTTTTCGAAAAAAGTGACATTTGCATTTAAGAATGGTTTCTTGTCGCATTATTCTGCTTTCAGTCAAGGAAATGCTAGGCCAGCAATTGACCGCCACAACTAAATGGGAAATGGACATATCGTCTCTCCGCACCTCCCACCCCACCGTAGTATATCTACCCAAACAGGACGACGGGTTGCTCAACGTCTTCTCGGTTGGCACACCCAGTCCGTATGGATAACTGCCAGTAGTCTATTTTTGCCTTCAAAGACGGCCATGGACAAATCCAAACCGTCAGACAGACTATGTTTTTGCCCATGAGCCAGAAATGGTCATTCCAGTCTCCTTTTTCTTTGTCATGTCCACCTTACTATTCTATATACCACAAGTCGCTATGAGCTCCAAGGGAAAACGGGACATGCATGTCCCGTAACTAGATCTGTAAGCCCCACAGTGCCAGAATGAATTCGATTTTATAAAGAACACTTTATTCTGTCCAAAACATCAAACAAGTTGGCCGGTCAAGTAAAGCACTTTGACACTGTTTGGCAATTTATATTCTAGAGCCCTTGTACTACACGCATTTAATTTAGACATTTCAGGATAGAAATCGCTGTTACACTTATGATATTAATGTACCTTAACTACTGCCCCATCCCATAGGTAAGTGTTTATATCTACCTATTTTGCAAACGAAGCACTCAATGTCATCATCCCTGAAAAGGCCTTATCGGCTGAGGTTTCAGATTCATTATCCCTTATTTTTGTCTTAAGTTGTCTTGCTTTTGTTAGTGCTTGTATTTACCTAGCGCCAAACAGGATGAGTCCGTTTTGACTGACAGGGTGGCGAAAATATGTTCTTGCACCACTTACTCTTGCATGAATTCTTCGACTGCAGCAGCCTTAACTTTATCCTCACCGAAGGGCCAGTTCTAACCATCTGTCTGAAGGCGACGATTACTGCTAAAGTTTCAATACGTACCAGTTAGTTTCAGCAGAAGATTTATGAATGAATGTTCAAAGAGCTGATTTATGACGAAAGAGCCTACTTTTGAATTTTAACTGGCTTGTCAATTTTCAATTAAATGAATTTCCATTAGGAGAAGGTTTTCACGGGCCTTATGCAGACATTAGGCCTTCTAGAAGCGCAGGCTTAGCAAGCTTTGTAAGATACAGGTGGTCAGTCATCTCCTGTAATAGCTAAACGCGCTTAATGCGCATCTTAGGCGTGGTGAGGTAACCTTTTAGAGCCTCTGAAGTGTTAGCGAAAGCCTATGGATCCGACATGACATCTCCATCGCTATGAATATTCGTGTATACCATGCATCCATCCGGTCAGTCCTCCTCTGTGTATGTGAATGCTGGGCTGTGCGCGCCTAAGAAGAGCGAAGACTGGAGGTCTTTGACCACCGTTGCCTGAGGACCATCCTGCGAGTTAAGCATAGTGACTTCATCTCGAATGAGGATATCTCGCGAGGATATCTCAGACCATTCAAGAAAGGCAACTGAGGTGGTTTGGACACGTTTTACGTCGTCCGCCCCACGAGC